TAAAGAATTTGAAGCAAAACATTACCGAATCCAACCAAACTTATTTTGTGTTTAGAAAATTAATTAAAGTTAGCCAAACAAGAGATTTTAAAGATAACCTGATCATGACAGATAACATTGGCTTTTAAAACACATATGAACTCATTAAAGTTTAAATATAAAGTAAAAGAAATGCCTAAATATAAAAATTCTTAAATTTATAATACAAATAAAAAGTAAATGAAATTCCTACATGTACAAAACTATAATAAGCAACAAATGAAAAGGGAGAATGAGAGAGCAACAAGAAACATGAATCTAGCAAAAAAAAAAAAAGGACTATTTTTCAGGTTAATAGATAAGATTAATAGAAGAAAGTGACAGGGAAAATAACATGCAGCGGATGAGGCTGCTCTTTCCTTACCAAGGTTTTTGAGTTCGAGCCTGGGTATGAAAAAGTTCTTGGTATGGAGAGCTTCCTCCAAATGAGCCTTACGCGATGCGAATCCGAATTAATCGGGCTTCAATACGAATATCAGACACCGGATAAAAAATCAAAAAAAAAAAAAAGGTAGGACGAGTTTTAGGAAGTAAACCATAATATAAAAAGAATATTTGACTTAAAAAATAAGGTCAAAACCTAAAAGTATTTAATTGAAAAGTTTATATTTTATTGAAAACTTTTATGAGGGCTACAAAAGTCCTTGGTTGTCCTATATATATAGGACTATTGCAAGTTTCAAAATCTAACTTCACTAAACTATCCACATGTGAAATTCACTTAAATATTTTAATCATCACTTAGTATGGAATATATAAATCTAATTAAACTCTTAAGAATACTGTCTAGTCAAATTTAATCACATTAAATACAGATGAATTATTTGTATAGCAATAAGACAAATTTCATATACTAAATACCATATAAATTTGTTTGCATATATACATTAAAAAATAGAAAAAAGTTTGTGTTTCTTAAAATCATCATCAAACTACATTATTCTATCATAATTAATAGCTTGTTTGGCCAAGCTTCTCCAAGATCAAAAATACTTTTTTTGAAAATATTTTTTTCAAAGTTGAAGTGTTTGGCCACGCTTTTAGAAGAAAAAAAAAAGCTTTTTAGTAGAAGCATAAGCAATTTTGGAGAAGCAGAAAAAAATAACTTATATCCAGAAGCACTTTTATGAAAAAATATTTGAAAAGAATACACTTAGAAGTACTTTTGTACCGCTTGGCCAAACATTAATTGATTCCCAGAAGTGCTTTTCAAATTAATTAGTCAAATACAAATTGTTTTCACCAGAAAAGTACTTTTAAGAAAAAACACTCATGAAAATAAGCTGAGTTCAGAAACTTGACCAAACAAATTGTAAATAATGTATTCAGATAATACTATCTGAACCAATTATTCTATTTCATTGAATTACTATTTTCACTTGTGATAGACATTTATACATAATACTATTTAGATAAACTTATTTATGTTATCATGGGTGTGCTAAATTAAACTTTTCGCACATATTATATCCGCAGCAATAATGGAAGAGACCTAAGGAGGAATCTCGAATTTGATTCTAACATTTGTCCACAGCAAACCTGCGAAAACAATCATGTTCTTAGGCCTCATTTGTTTTTTATAAGATTAAGACGTCTGAATCTGAATACACATTTGAATATCAAGATGTGTATTAAGATTAACACATCTGAATCTGAATACACATCTAAATATATTAAGATGTGTATTAAGATCTGAATAGAAATAATTAAGACTGTTTGATTTTTAACATCTGAATGTATAAAATTTATTTTTTTCTGAAAATTAATAAACATAAAATTCAAATAAAATACTAACTAATCTAATGTTCTATCAATAAAATATATCATTTTTTAAAATATGATAGTTGTTGGTGGTGATGACTAACGGGTGAATGCCGACTAGAGGCGGTGGTTAGTCGTAATTTTGGTTGATGATGGTGGTTCATGATAGTAGCTAGTAGTGATTGGTAATGGTGGCGATTATGATTGAAGTTGGTGGTGGTGGGTGGTGATAGTTAATAATGTTGGGTGGTGGTAGGTTATAATGATGGGCAGTGCCGGCTGTGATTGTTGATGGTGATGGGGTGGTCAGTTGTGGTAGTTGAGGCAGATGAATGTTGATTGTGGGTGAGAATGATGGTGGTCGGAGTTGTGGGGATAGTAGGTGGTGATGGTCGATAATGGAGGCTATGATTTAGGATGATGGTAGCGTGGTGGTGGTTGGGGGGTGGGGGTAGGGGTGGTAGTGGTGAGTGGTGGTGGTGGTGGTGGTGGTGGTGGTATGGTGGTAGTTGATAATGGTAGGCGGTGGCAGCAGTTAATAATGAATATGTGATAGCATCTTAATGAAATTAAGTCTCTATTATAGATCTTAATCATACAGACCTATTCAGACCCATTAAGTGGTTATGAAGTAAAAAAAACAAACACACTTAATGATTAAGATCTGAATAATTAAGATTCAGACTTTAAAAACAAACGCACTTAATGTCTGAGATCTGAATGATTAAGATTCAGAACTCCATTAAGTGCAAACAAATGAGGCCTTACACGAGTACAACATTACCATGGGCTTGTATGGGTCCCCGCCATATTTTTCTCTGTTGTTGTGTGTGAAAATAAGGTTAGGACCTAGAAGTAATTAAATGAAAAATTTACATTTTATTGGAAATTTTTGTGAGGACTACAAAAGTACTTTGTTGTCCCTTATTATATATAGTAATATTATATTATATTACTAGTCATAGTAAATAATGTTCTCCTGATATAAAATTAAAACGAGACTAAAACATGCGTATAGCTGATAGATGCCAAAATTTCACGGTATAGTTAGTTTTCGGACTGATCAAACTGATACAGCTCAATACATACGAAGAGAGTGTTTGGATTGACTTTTAAGGTGGTCAAATCAGCTTTTAAGCTCTTTTTAGCTTTTTTAAGTGTTTGACAAAGTTAAAAAGTACTTAAATATGAATTATATATAAATTACACATCATTCAATTTTTTAATTTAAGTGATCGGGTGAGCACTTATTTAGGCTGATTAGATATAGCCAAAAGAAAATATGAAATAATTTCAACCAAAGACTAAAAATATAATAAAAGTTCATATATAGATAATTTTTATTAAAACCCATCCTTTTATAGTGAAATAAATTAATTTTTTGTAACAGAAGAAATAATGACATAAAAAATAAGATAATAAAAATAAATATTGAAAAAAATGTTAGAAAGATCTAAAAACGAGAAATAAAATATGACAGCAAAGTTCTTCTTATGTTTCATCTTTGTTGAATATTAAAAATTTGAAAATTAATCTCATCGATTTCAAATATATTTTTTTCAACTCAAATACAAAGATTATAAGATAAGGATATCTTCGAATATTTTTTTAATTTATATTATGTGACGTTTTTAAGAAATCACTGCTACTAAAAACTGATATGATATTCGAATTTGAATTGGGATGCAATTTGAGTAGTATGCATTGAGGTTAAGCCAAGTATGGTGTCGAAAAATAAACTACTTGATAATTTTAAGACATTATATGCAATGTTTTATAATAATAATCAACTAATTTAACATTTAATGATTCAAAGAACAATTTTTTTTTTTGTATATATAGGATTAAAAATTCAAATTCTAGGGCTGGGATATCGATAAACTTAAAGTGGAGTCATACTGAAATAACTCCGGCCAAAGAGTCATTTAAATTTTCAGATAGCCGATTAAAGTGAATTTTAAATTAAGGATAATATCTTCACTTGCATCATTATAAAGATAATCATTATTATAATATATATAAAATTTTAGAAATTGAAATTTCAAAAAAGAAATATTTTTTGAAAGATAATCATACCAAATAAGAGTTCAAGTCGTAGTATAAGAGTCATGTCGTAATCAAAGAATCGTTTATATCATGTCAACTTTTGTGCTTTGCCATAAATATGAGTAATTATTTCAATTTATGGCAATTTTTAGGTTCCAGTGACACCTATGAGAATAGTGCAAAAATAAAATTATCACTACGAGAATAGAAAAAATGTTAGTCTTTTTTCATCTAGTGTTTCTTAATTAATATCTGACTATTATCTATAATTATTTAGAAGGTTTAAATGATAAGAATATTTACATATAATTCAAATAACTCAGATATTTAACATGATTAATGTCAAATATCAAAATGGAGTAAAAATAATTCACTAGCTAAAGAATGTTTTATATTTTTAGATAGCCAACCAAAATGAGTTTTGAATTAAGAATGATATTTTCAATTACATTATTATAAAAATAATTATTATTGAAAAATAATNACATTATTACAAAAATAATTATTGTTGAAAAATAATGCTTTAGAAACTGAAATTTTAAGAAAGAAATATTTTTAAGAGATATCAACACACCAAATAAGAGTTCAAGTAGTAGTAAAAGAATTACGTCTTATCCAAAGAGTCATTCATTGTCTCAACATTTGATTGTTTTGCCATAAATATGAGTTACTCCCTCCGTTCCGGTTTATGTGAACCTATTTCTTTTTTGGTTCGTTCCAAAAAGAATGAACCCTTTCTAAATTTGAAAACAATTTAGCTTAAACTTACAATTCTACCATTAATAAGAAGCTTTTATAACCACACAAATACTATGGGCTCATTTTTGACTTGTTTAAGACCACAAATTCCAGAAGTCTTCATTTTTTCTTAAACTCCGTGCCTAGTCAAACAGGTTCACATAAAGTGAAACGGAGGAAGTATTATTTTGCTTCCTGACTATTTTTTAGGATCCAATGACACCAGCAAGAATAGTATCAAAAAAGAAAAATAGAAGAAATGATTAATTTTCTTCATGTAGTTAATATCCAATGATTATCTATATTTACCGAGAAAGTGTAAATTTTAAAATTATTTACATACAATCCAAATAACTTAAATATTTAACATGATTAGTGTCCGCGCATCCGCGCGGGTACTAATACTAGTAGTAAAGTAAAGAAGCAAACTTGTGGTTCAATATGACGAAGAGAGTGTTTGGATTGACTTTTAAGGTGGTCAAATAAGCTTTTAAGCTCTTACTAGCTTTTTTCAGTGTTTGACAAAGTTAAAAAGTACTTAAAATAAGTTAAAAGCTGCTTAAAACAAGCAAAAGCAGTAAGCTGAGCAACCCCAACTTATTGCTTTTTGGCAGCCGAAAAGCTACTTTTTTTAGCTACCATTGGCGCCTTGTAACATTAAATTGTAGAGTGCAAAGCCTCCTCTGTGGCAGCCGGGCATTTTAGAAGCCATGTTCTCCAAATCACTCTGACAAAAAAAGAAACATGTGAAATTAACAATTGCAAGTCATAGATAAACTGTTTAAAGCAATATGAACCTTTCTTTTATGGATGAAGAAGCAAAACTACCTCTCGAACTACTTTTAGCAACACATACTTAAACAACGGATCAGTACCAAATATAATATACACCTATCATCAGCAGTCTTGAAATGGTGATGCCCGTAATTTCCAACAGATTAAGGAGTAAAAAATGCAAGAAAGGAAAGAGCTCAAAAATAAAATAAAGTAGTCCAGCACATGAAAAAGGTCTTAGAAATGCTCAAACTCAATTTCACATGACAAGTAGAACGCTGCTAAATGGCCCCAGGTAGGACAGAAAGGAGATACCTCTAAGGTTGATTTTATGCAATTTCAAGCTGAAAAGGGTGGAGGATTATTTGGCTAGAAGGATCTTAAGGGTTTCAGTCATGCAACTTAGAATAATATGCCAGGAACAAGGAACAAGCATCACTGATGTTGTGAAGCTGTAAGACAGAACCATAGGATAGATTTGCAGTTATCACTTTCTATTACTCTCAGGCAATATAAACAAAAGATTCTGAGAAAAATATAGACAGAACTCTAATTAATTAGAAAGAAGCATAATATGATTTATAGACTAGATTTTTTTCTGATTCCAAAAACTCAGTACGCCAACTCAGAAATAAACTTCCTTGTACCATTAGTGTATTTATCGAGAAATTCAAAATAGAAAATCCCAATAAAATTGGGATGAATCAGACATTTTCAGAATGTTCTATGAACGACAGGAGTTCTGTACAGTTGCCAAGATGATGCTAATGCTAAAATTCCAGAAGGAATCTCAAAGAAAACATATAGTCCAAAATTAATTATTAAATTCAGACTCCAAATTTAACCGACTAGCTTCAATTGGCTCCAATTTTAACCAACTCCTGTATCACTTACATGCCTTGTTACGACAATTTTAGTTGCATTACATTGCTAGCATTGTGAGTTAGACCACAACCTCATGCTAGATGGTCCCTTTCCCTCCACATGGGACTCCCGCAGCTCAGCAAAAGTGGATCCATATGGCAACTGAGCAAAAATTAATATATAAGACAAGTCACTAGAACTACTTTAACAATTTGTAAAACTAACCATTGAAACAGCACAAAGCTGAGTTGACTCGAAGCCATTTTGTGCGCTAGAATACAATTGTTGAATTTCATCCGACTGAAGATTGCATTTGATGAAGAAGAAAGCAATTGGCCTAACATTCAATACTCTTTGGGATATACCAATAAAGATGGGGCTGGACTGATATAACATCAAAGATAAAGAATAAAGGACAAGAGTTAGGTGTCTTCTACAAATATGAATCCTTAAACGATGCAATCTTATCAGAAATGAAACAACAATCTAAGGGTGCATGTAAAAACAGCCCCCTCAAGAGTTGCAGACAGCCATATTCATAATTAGTCACCAGTCTCCAATGATCAGCTTACAAATGCAACTTTATTTTGTACCTGAAAATCAATGTGTCCTACATTATGTATATTACATTTGATTACAGTAGTACATTTAGTAATCTTGGTGAATTATTTGATTACAGTTTTGAGGTAGATCTTCATGTTATAGCTGACAAATGAATTGAGAAATAAGAACGATGCATTACTCGAAATACACGGTCATATTTTCCTATTAGGGTCACAAAAGGGAAGAGAAGAAAAAAAAATGTAGGTACAGTTAAATGACTTTTGTATACAACAAATCGACAACACAAGAAGCATGATAATTCTCAAGATTCGACGTGATTGTGCTATTTGGTATAAAAAACCTAGAATGAAAATCAGGCTGAGCCCTGATACAAGGTTGATTAGAAATTATATTTATCCAGCCTGCGCTATTGCTTATCAAGGTCCTTCTTCTCCTTCCAGATTACAAAGTTGACCCGTTTCACAAAGTTGACCCATTTCACTTGTCTGCTACCTAAAATATTTTGAGCATACAGGAATTATATACTTATATAGAGCAGTGCAAAGTGGAAAGTTTAGATAGGATCTGACAATGAACTCAATCATCATCCTCACAAATTACAGATACCAGAAAAGTCACATAATCCCCCTCACTTGTCTGCTACCCAAAATATTTTGAGCATACAGGAATTATATACTTATATAGAGCAGTGCAAAGTGGAAAGTTTAGATAGGAGCTGACAATGAACTCAATCATCATCCTCGCAAATTACAGAGATCAGAAAAGTCACATAATCCCCCTCTCCCCTTCCCCCTACCCC